GAGTGAAATAAATAAGAAGAGTGGCTGAGGGCCTCATTTTGTAAACTGAGTATACTTTACATATTACACCTCTATAGGAAACCCGAGTTTCCTATTTTTGCTTTGTGCCTATTCCACCTTTTTTGTTTTTGGGTTTTTTTGTTGTTGTTGTTGTTGTTGTTGTTTTTGCTTTTTCTAGACAGAGTTTCTCTGTGGTTTTGGAGCCTGTACTGGAACTAGCTCTTGTAGACCAGGCTGGTCTCAAACTCACAGAGACCCGCCTGCCTCTGCCTCCCGAGTGCTGGGATTAAAGGCGTGCGCCACCACCGCCCAGCATGTTTGGTTGGTTTTTGTGGTACTGGGTATCAACCCAGATTTCACACAAGCTGAATTGTTTAACCACTGTACCATATCTCCAACCCTGGACTTAAAATTTGAAGAGAATGTTTTAGTTCTATAATTATAAGTAAAATCCCATAAATATTTAAGGTTTAAAAATCTTGTCACTTTTTAAGATTTTACTTTTACTGTGTCGGTGCCACATGTACAGAAGACCAGGGCAGCCACAAACAGGCATGGGATCCTTGGAGCCACACACTTGACCTCGTTGTTAGGAACCAAACTCGAGTCCTCTGGGAGACCAGTTCTTGCTCACCTATGGCTGAAGTGATATATTAAATATATTCTATAATATATATTAATAAATATATTTTTAATAGATTTTTTTTAGTCCTGTAGAGTTAACTGAGTTTAGAATTTCATAGAAGTGAAAACCACTTACCAAAAATTGCTGCTGTTTGCATGAAATGATGGGCCAAGCCGGTAAAAATTCCAGTGATCATGACTGTTTATGTCTGGGGCCTGGATACTGTGTATCTGTTTAGCTTGAGATACTCACACAAGCCAGAGGAGGGTGTTGGAGCCTTTGGAGCTGGATCTTTTAAGCAGTTGTGAGCTGTCCAGCTTGAACAAATGCTGGGAATCAAACTCAGCCCTTTTTAAGAGTAGTATGTACTCTTAGACGTTTTTTAAGGTATCCTGGGATAGAGAACTGATAATGACTTCAGAATCACTATACTCCTGCCTCCACTCCCCAAATGCTGGGATTACGGACGGACACACCATGCCCGGCTCTTGTGTATTCTTGGTAATTTGTTCCCCAGACACCCATTAGCAAGTTGTTCGAAAGAGCTAATGGAAAGATCAATACTGCCAAGGACAAGCAGAAACAAAGGAACTAAAGATAAAATATTGATTCTGCAGAGTACTGTATCGGAACAGAACAAGGATGTCATCAGAAGTCAGTATAGTACGTCAAGGTGAACATAGTAGTGAGTCACACAAATATGTCCTCTACAATCTCAAATCCTGCCCAATTAACAGAGAAGGAAATAAAAAGCTTGGGATTTACCTGAACTGGATTGAGAGGGTTTGAGGATGAATTCATGGTGAATACCTTGAGAAAAAGGGTGGCTGGTGCTGTCTTTTTAAAATTGCTATTATAAAGCATTTCCAGGAAAATCAGAAAGTATTGAAGATAATATAATAAATGTCCACATACTCCAAATGCAGATTAATGATTTAGACAGTGGAGAAGCTCTGGGCTTTTGAGAAGTGGCCCAGTCCACAGGACACAGCTCTGCCTAAGCCACTTGGATGCCCCCAGTTCCTGTTAGGAAACCTGCCTGTTTATCCCTACGATATGCCCTGCGATCTATTGAGAACAGGAAGTGCCTGGGGATGTCGCAAGGGCTGCAGGAACAGCAGTCATGCTTACGCACAGGACCTGCATGAGGAACAGCCATGATCCCCAGCTCTGACCTGCAGCATTATCTCGGTGTCCTGGTCTCTCCTAAGTGCCAGGGAAGAGAAGAGGACAGCTGAGAACCAATGCTCCTGTCTAATGTGGACAAATGACCTTCCCTTTGGCCCACAGTATAGCCATGGACTATACAAAGAAATCCTGAGATTTCTTTACAGCTGGGACATCAAAATGCCTGGACTTTCAATGAGCTTTAGGTTTCTGTAAAAGCCAGTAAATCATACTATCACAAAAGTCTTTTCCTCATCAAAAAAATCCAAGTAGATAGAGCTTGGCATCCCAACCCTGCAGAATTAGGAGGATCCTAAGTTCAAGACCAACCTGACTTATATAGCAAGACCCAGTCTTAAGGGTAAAAAAAAAAATGGTGAACATAAAATTTAAGTGGTGGGTTGGTGAGATGGTTAAGTAGTTAAAGGTACTTGGTTTGCAAGTCTGGCGACCTGAGTTCCAGCCCTGGAATCCATATAAAGGATGGACTGGAAGGAAGCTGGGCATGGTGGTGCATGCCTTTGATCCCACCACTCAAAAGGAAGGGGCAGGTGGATCTCTGAGTTTGAAGCCAGTCTGGTCTAGGTAGTGTGTTGGGGAATATTATTATCAGGTGTGTTACCTTTGTAATGCTACATCTAATTAACTGTGAAGCTGTGATTCTTTGCCTATCTAAAACACCTGATTGTCTAAGAGCGGAATAGCCAATAGCAAGCAGGAACAAGGATAGGTGGGGCTGGCAGGCAGAGTATAAATAGGAGAAATCTGGGAAGAATGAGAGGAGAGGAGGACACCAGGGCCAGTCATCCAGCTACACAGCAAGCCACAGAGAATGAAGTAAAGAATGGAATACAGAAATAGGGAAAGATAAAAGTACAGAGGCAAAAGATAGCTGGGATAATTTAAGAAACAAGCCAAGCTAAGGCCAGGCATTCATAACTAAGAATAAGCCTCTGCGTAAGATTTATCTGGGAGCTGGGTGGTACCCCTCCCCAAAAAAACCAGAAAAATAAAATGTCACACAATGTTATGTTCCCCAGTGTGGGGCCATATTTCCATGCAGGGCCTGGGAATTTTTTTTTTCTTTTTTTGGTTTTTCGAGACAGGGTTTCTCTGTGGCTTTGGAGCCTGTTCTGGAACTAGCTCTGTAGACCAGGCTGGCCTCAAACTCACAGAGATCCGCCTGCCTCTGCCTCCCGAGTGCTGGGATTAAAGGCGCGTGCCACCATCGCCCGGCCCTGAGAAAATTTAGAAAAAAAAAAAAAAAACAAAGGACATGGCTCCTTTAAGACGTTCAGCAGGCAGGGCTAAATAGAAACTAGAAATGACAAGCTAAATAAAAACTACTTGTAGCAATGCAAGTACTGGTTTCCACAGCTAGGAAGGTTTGATGCAGTTCTCAGTCAGGAATTCCCCACCAGCTTTAGGGCTGGCTTTCACAGTCCAACCTGAGAGTAGTCTGAGCCAGTTGCTAGAGCACGCTCAGAAAGGCTAAAAGATATGCAGTAAGAGGTCAAGACAAAAAAAAACTCTAAACAGGTTCTAGTGTGCTTTACAATGTGTGTAGGCTTAAGAAAGAAAAAAGATGGGTATAGGCAGTCATAGAAAGAAATAAGTAGATTAAAAATAATAAAGTCAGCCAGGCTACAGTGACATAGGCCTTTAATCCCAGCACTCAGGAGGCAGAGGCAGGCAGATCTCCGTGAGTTCGAGGCCAGCCTGGTCTACAGAGCTAGTTCCAGGACAGGCACCAAAGCTACAGAGAAACCCTGTAGAAAGAAAGAAAGAAAGAAAGAAAGAAAGAAAGAAAGAAAGTCTTTAAAGAGACAGTAAAAATAATGTAAAAGAAAAAAAGCCACATAAGGATGGGATACAAACAGGGAGTCTAGATCCTGTATTGTGCTGATTTTGAATTTTCTGATTGCTGAAAAGCAAAGGACAGCTTCTAAGAGACCTGGATTTGAAAGAGGGACTGTTGAAATAAACCAGCCTGGATATTTGAAGAATGCCTTAACTTTAAAAAAAAAATCAAAAAAAAAATGTATTTGTCAAATGGAAATCAAAAAAGCTTTAAAAGAGTCAGTGCCTGCGGGAACCTCAGGCTGTGGCTCTTGCAGCCTAGCCACTGCTGGTAGCGGCAGAGTTGCAGAGCTGACTAGAATAGCCATAGCTTAAAAGGCAGCAACCATTAGAGAGAGGACAACAGTAGTGAGTCCCTTCTCAAAAGCCCTGACTGTCTAGCCCATCAATGCAGCTACTGGAGATGCTAACACAGGAAGGCCAGAGACTTGAGGCCTGCTTGGGCTACTTAGTGAGACTGTCTTAGGGATGAGCTCAGTGATAGAGCCTTGCCCAGCAATTTCCAGGCTCTGGGTTCAATCCCCATAGACGCCAAGAAAACAAACAGAAATGGCTTTCTGTTTCACTTCTCATTAGAATGCTGCCAAAATGGCTGGCTTGTGAAGTTTTCTAACTGAATCCAAAAGTGCAGAGGACGTCACCAGGAGGGAGGAGCAGGCATGATACGGAAGTGGGAGCAAGGCTGGCAAGTAAAAGTAGAATGTCCTTACCTCAATAGCCAACAAATTATACAGCTGTGTAAGAGGGGACTGAGGCAGAGGATCAGGAGTTCAAGGCCAGCCTTGGCTGCTTCCAAAAACAGACAACAAATCATATATAGATAGATAGATAGATAGATAGATAGATAGATAGATAGATGAACTCCTTAGAAAGAGCTAGCAGGACAGACATTATCCTTTATAAATAGCTCATTTGTATCAGTATTCACATTAGAAAAATATATACTAGCCGGGCGATGGTGGCGCACGCCTTTAATCCCAGCACTCGGGAGGCAGAGGCAGGCGGATCTCTGAGTTCGAGGCCAGCCTGGTCTACAAGAGCTAGTTCCAGGACAGGCTCCAAAGCCACAACGAAACCCTGTCTCGAAAAACCAAAAAAAAAAAAAAAAAAAAAAAATATACTGCCTGAAACAGACCTTCTATGAGTAAAATCCATTCAAATATAAGCTCAAAGTCCCAGCATGGTGGGACACCCCTGTCACCCCATCATTCAGAAGATGGAGGCAAGAAGATTAGGAGTTCAAGGCCAGCCTTGGTTAGGTGATCAAGTTCAAGGCCAATCTGGGCTATACTGCCCCAGAAAACAACATCCTATACTTTCACACACACACACCTGACTTGACTCCTGGTCACTGAGAGGGCTCTGCCTCCACAGTGTGGAAGGCCTCTATGGCTTCAAAAGCAACCCCTTCCAGCGGGCCAAACCTCACGATAGAACCCTTTGCGTTAGTCACTATGACAGCATTCTCTTCTGAGACACTGAAGTACTTGGACAGGACAAAATAAGCCCATTGGAAGTTGGAATAGAAACCTGCTCCTGTCCCTGAGACAACACTTCCTGGCATAGATAGGAAAGCTCAGAAGCCAGGGCTTCCCCCACAGCAGCCACAGTCTCCAGCTCTCTCTGGCCATCTGCCTCCATCCTGGAGAGGAACCAGCTTACGTTCCCAGCTTCGCTTCCAACACTGGGACCCCCATTAGTGGGTAGTGACCCATCTGGTCCAGGATGAGACCCTGGCTCGGGCATAGTCCTGGAAACACAGGCAGCTGGCAGGACATTCATAGGCAAAGTTTTCTGGAGTGGAAAGGCTGCAGCCTCTAGGCAGGGCATGGCTGAGGCTGGCCTGCTGCCTACTGAGGTAGGGTTGGCTCATTTCTCTGAGGTCTCCTGCCTCTGCATTTCCTGATTCTTCAAGAAGCAGGAACTCCATTTCTTCACCTGATGATGGGGTACCACAGACACCGTTGCTTCTCTGGATGGCCTCAGAATCCTGCTTTGCAGTGTGTTCTGGAGCATTCTCTTCAGGAAACACTGATGACTGGGCTGGGGGCAGCCCTCTGGGCTCTGCTACCTGGAAATAAAGAGCTGACATCCTGATACAGAAGAGCAGGATCTGTAGAGACACTCCTGGCTTCCAAGTTAGCAGACGCCATCACTGACAGCTGCTGGCCTACAGGCAGCACACTTCCATCACTAGCAGGAGCCATTTCCCCACAGCTTCCCTCAGAGCAGGGAGAAGGGTTCTCAGTGGCTGCGGAGGCAGAACCTGAATAGTTGGGAAAAACAGCAGTCACACACTCATCACCACGATGAGCTGGTCCAAATGACCTTCCCTCAGAGAAGCAGTAAAGCAGCTCTCTTTGCTACTTGGGCTGGGCAGCAGGTTTTTATTGGCTACTGTATCTACTCAGAAAGGTAGATTTTGTATTAAAAATCTTTGTTCAAAAGAGTTTAGCAGGCTGACTTCACTGAATGAAAGAAGAGCGGGTTTCTGGAGGGGAGCTCAAGGGTAAGAGGGGCCTTTCAAAACAGATCTACAGACAACCCCCAGCCCAACCCCACCCCTGGAAAAGCTGAAAGGTTATTTCCAGATGACCTATCCATCTGGAACAGCTAAGAACCTTGTCTCGAGGTCAAGGACCGTCACTGGGCCCCAGGAATGTAGAACATCTGCAGATGCTAAAGGACCATTTGCTGAGAGGAAGTGAACCGTGAGGCGGATCACTTAACTATAAAATGAAGAAGCTAAAAAAGAAAGGTGATTGAGGAGGGCGGTGCTCCACACAGGCGCCAGAGGGGTCACTGTTCCCACCCAACACAACTGCCTTCCCCTAGGGCAGAGCTGCACGGAAGTTCTAAAATGGGCAAGGCCTCTTCCACTGCAGACCCTAGCGTCAGGCCAGAAACCAGGCAGTGCTGCTAAGTCTTTGTAAAGACATGTGAGAACTGGCAATACTTTATGTTCAAAGTACCTAGTAGAGGGTTCTGATTACAGCCAGAACTAAAACGAAAATGTCTTCTTTTCAAGTGTTAAGTCTCACATGTTCGGGGCAGCCTTGTCTCAGATGCTAAGCCACTGATACATGTGTCCTTGGGACCTAACTCTGCCCAACCTCTCAGACCAGCCGGGGTCTACTAGCCTGAGACACCACTATGAAGTAACTCTTAGTTAATAAAGGACTCTAGGAGACCCCAACATCTATGACATGGGCATCAACATGGAACAATAAAGTGTTGGAAGCTAGAGACAAAATCCAAGAGACCAGAGGGGTCTCTCAAATCGGGCTGAAGGGATCCCCAGCCCCTAAAAGTGATGGACTTGGGTACATCTGGTGCCTTGGGACCACTGAGCATGGGGCAACCCACAAAATATGTGGTTTACCCTGGCTGGCTGGAGCGCGGGAGGACCCAGGCTTCTGCTGACATCCACTGATGGCGGCAGGACACTCAGGGACATCTGTAGGCAGAGCTGCTGTTCGGGCCTTCTTCACTGTGGCCAGCCCCTCCCCTTCACTGTAGCCGGCCTACAGAGAGAGTAGAAAAAGCATAACGGCACCTTTCCGGAACAGCCTCTAGGCCAAGGAGCAGTGGCTGAAAGGTCAGATCATGAACCAACGTCTACACAGACGCCAACTCTGCACCACTTACCACCACAGCCTGCTCCCTCTCCCTCTTCTGTACACTGGTTTCCTGCAGCTTTCCCTTCATCTCCTGGCTGGAGCACTCAGGTGCACTGCTTGGGTGTGTCTCTTTCTTCCTCAGGTATTCTGTGATTCCTAATGATCTGGCAACCTTAGGGGAAACAGGAGAAATAAGCTCTGCTTAGAGCAGAGAGTGTAGCAAGTGTGTTAATTCCTGTCTACACCTGAGTAGAAATCCAAGCGGTTCCTTTGTACAGTGAGGTGCAGTTAACAAGGAGAAAGACGGCAGATGCAAAGGTGTGCGGAGCAGCAAGGGTGGAACCCAGCCTCACCAAAGCTCGCAGGATCTGTGTCAGTGAGGGTGGACTTGAACCTCTCTTCCTCAGTGCCTACCTTACTAATGCTAAGGCAACCAAGGTTCCTTTCTTGCCAGTTGTTCCTCTTTTTACCTTCTGTTTCAATTCTGGTCAGGTGATGCTGACCAGCACTCAGGAGACAAAGACAGGTGGATCTGTGTGAGTTTGAGGCCAGCCTGGTCTACAGAGCAAGTTCCAAAGCTACAGAGAAACCCTGTCTTGAAAAATCAATTCTTAGTGATCTTTTTCTCCCTCATCTAACTCCTTATGCTCCCCCCTTATCTGGATACCTGAGTTTCAGCTGCCTTACAAAGTTTTTATGAAGCTCAGTGTGTCTTCCATCTACAAAACACACGTGTGTGTACACATACATATGCATGTATATCTAGCAAATGTAAAGGTGTAGACACAGCTAATGTCCTTTACACTGGACTTTAAAAGGAGAACAACCGTAGGTGTAAGACAGGGTGAGGACCAGTAGGAAGGATAGCAGAACATGACTAATGCAGACAATTGGGCTAGGTGAGTATAGCCCTGCCCACGCTAAACAGTGTCCCCTTACGAAGTCAGTCACAGCCACTACTCTAAAGCACACATAAAATAAAAATAAATCACAGCATGGGTGACTATTATCATATATGGGGAATCTGCAAAAGGCTTTGCAAAATAATCCAATATATTTATAATGCATAATTAAAAAAATAAAATCCAAAGCCTTGTTAAGAATATATTCAGAAGCCGGGTGGTGGTGGCGCATACCTTTAATCCCAACACTCGGGAGGCAGAGGCAGGCGGATCTCTGTGAGTTCGAGGCCAGCCTGGTCTACAAGAGCTAGTTCCAGAACAGAACAGGCTCCAAAGCTACAGAGAAACCCTGTCTCAAAAAAATATATATATATTCAGAGGCTTGGAATGTAACTAAGTCGGTATAGTGCTTGCCTCCCATGTACTATGCTGAGTTTAATTTCCAGCACTGCACACCTAGGACACAGTGGTAAATACTGATCATCTCAGCACTCAGGAGGTGGAGGCAAGAAAATCAAAATGTCAGGGTTGAGGCTGAAGAAAAGGCTCAGTAGTTAAGAGTATCTGTTGCTCTTCGAGAGGACCTGGGTTCAATTCCCAGCACCATATGGCAGGTAAGAAGGTGCAACTCCAGACCCAGGAGACCTGGTGTCCTCTTCAGGAATCAGACACACACAGTACACAGACATACATTGTACTGGTTGGTTTCTGTGGCAGTGTGATACAAACCTAGACATATCCAGGAAGAAGTCATTTTAATTGAGAAAATGTCTCCATAAAATTAACCTGTAGGCAATGGTGCTGGTGGCACATGCCTTTAATCCCAGCACTCGGGAGGCAGAGGCAGGCGAATCTCTGTGAGTTCGAGGCCAGCCTGGTCTATAGGAGCTACTTCCAGGACAGGCTCCAAAACTACAGAGAAACCCTGTCTCAAAAAACAAACAAAAAGGGGCTGGAGAGATGGCTCAGTGGTTAAGAGCATTGCCTGCTCTTCCAAAGGTCCTGAGTTCAATTCCCAGCAACCACATGGTGGCTCACAACCATCTGTAATGAGGTCTGGTGCCCTCTTCTGGCCTGCAAGTATATACACAGAAAGAATATTGTATGCATAATAAATAAATATTTAAAAAAAAATTAACCTGTAGGCAAGACTGTGGGGAATTTTCCTGATTAAAGGTAATGTGGAAGAGCCCAGATTACTGGGAACGTTAACCTGGATGGTATAAGAAAGCAGGCTGATACATATAAATGATAAAGAAGCTGAGGAAGAAATCGGAGAAACATCACCCTTCACAATAGTCACAAATAACATAAAATACCTTGGGGTAACACTAACCGAAGAAATGAAAGACCTGTTCGATAAGAACGTTAAGTCTTTGGAGAAAGAAAGTGAAGAAGATACCAGAAAATGGAAAGATCTCCCAATGCTCTTAGTTACATAAAGTCAACATAATAAAAATGGCAAACCTACTAAAATCGATCTACAGATTCAGTGCAGTCCCCATTAAAATCCCAGCACAATACTTCACAGACCTTTAAAGAACAATAATCAATTTCACATGGAAAAACAAAAATTCCAGAATAGCCAAAACAATCCTGTACAATAAAGGAACTTCCAGAGGCATTACCATCCCTGACATCAAGCTCTATTACAGAGCTACAGCAATGAAAACAGCTTGGTATTGGCATAAAAACAAACAGGTTGACCAATGGAATTGAATCAAAGACCCAGATATTCATCCACACACCTATGAACACCAGATTTTTGACAAAAAAGCTAAAATTACACAATGGAAAAAAGAAAGTATCTTCAAAAATGGTGCTGGAATAACTGGGTGTCAACATATAGAAGAATGAAAATAGATCCATATCTATCACCATGTACAAAACTCAGGTCCAAATGGATTAAAGACCTCAATATAAATCTGACCACACTGAACCTGATAGAAGAGAAAGTGGGAAGTAGCCTTCAATGCATGGACATGGGAGACCACTTTCTAAATATAACACCTACTGGTGTTATATGTTAGCACAGGCATTGAGAGCAACAATAAATAAATGGGACCTCTAAAACTTTTTCTGTAAAGCAAAAAACACAGGAAATAAGACAAAAAGGCAGTCTACTGAATGGGAAAAGATCTTCACCAACCCACATCAAACAAAGGATTGATGTCATATATATAAACAAACAACTCGGGCTGGAGAAATGGCTCAGAGGTTAAGAGGACCTCTTCCTCTTCCAGAGGACCTGAGTTCAATTCCCAGAAACCACATGGTGGCTCACAACCATCTGTAATGAGATCTGGTGCCCTATTCTGGCCTGCAGGCATACATGGAGGCAAAATGTTTTATACATAATAAATAAATAAATCTGAAAAAAAACTCAAGAAATTCGATATCAAAATTCCAAAATTATTTGGAATTTTTTAACCCAATTAAAAATGGGGTTCAGAACTAAACAGAATTCTCAACAAAAGAATCTCAAATGGCTGAAAGACACTTAAGAAAATATTCATCATCCTTAGCCATCAGGTAAATGCGAATCAAAACAACTCTGAGATATCATCTTATACCAGTTAGAATGGTTAAGATCAAAAACACCAATGATAGCTTATGCTGGAGAGGATGTGGAGTAAGGGGAACACTTGTCCATTGCTGGTGGGAATGCAAACTTGTACAACCACTCTGGAAATCAGTACAGTGGTTTCTCTGAAAATTGAGAATCAACCTACCACAATACCACTCTTGGGCAAATACCCAAAAGATGCTCAATCATACTACAAGAACATTTGTTCAACTATGTTCATAGCAGCATTATTTGTAATAGCCAGAAACCGGAAACAACCTAAATGCCCCTCAACCCAAGAATGGATAAAGAAAATGTGGCACATTTACACATTAAAGTACTACTCAGTGAGAAAACAACAACAACAACAAAAAAAAAACAAGGACATCTTGAAATTTGCATGCAAATGAATGGAACTAGAAAAAACCATCCTGAGTGGGGTAACCCAGACCCAGAAAGATGAACATGGTATATATCCACTCTAAGTAGATACTAGCTGTAAAGCAAAGGATATAGTTCATGATCCTATAATTCATGATCCTAGAGAATCTAAGTAACAAGGTAAACCCCAAGCAAAACATACATAGATCCACCTGAAGAAGGGAAATAGACAAAATCACCTGACAAAATTTGGAGCATGGGGGTGGGGGGAGAAGAGAAGGCAGAAGGGGAAGAGGAGGGAAGAAAGGGACAGGGGAGAAGAACTTGAGGGAACGGGATAGTTGAGATGAAGGAAGGACAGAGATGAGAGCAGGGAAAGAGATATCTTGATTAAGAGAGCCATTATGGGGCTAATAAGAAACCTGGCACTAGAGAAATTCCCAGGACAAGGATGGCCCTAAGCAATAGAGGAGAGGGCTCCTGAACTGGCCTTGCCCTGTAGTCAGAGTGATAAATATCTTAAATATCACCATAGAACCTTCATCAAGCAACTGATGGAAACAGAGGAAGAGACCCACAGTGAAGCACTGGGCTGAGTTCCCAAAGTCCAGTTGAAGAGTGGGAAGAATGAGAATATGAGCAAAGAGGTCAAGACCATAATGGGGACACCCACTGAAATAGTTTACCTGAACTAATGGGAGCTCACCAAATCCAGCCGGATGGGGAAGGAACCAACATAGGTCCAAACTAGTCCCTCTGAATGTAGGTGACAGTTGCATGGCTGGGGCAGACTTCAGGGACACTGGTAGTGACACCAGGATTCATCCCTACTGCTTATACTGGCTTTTTGGAAACCTAGTCCTTTAAATGGATTGTTTCTGTCCTGCCCAGTTCCCGTAATCATTAAGTCCCAAAGAAATCACACAGAAGTCTACATTAGTTATAAGCTGATTGGCCCATTAGCTCAGCTTCCTATTGACTCTTTTTTTTTGTTTTTGTTTTTTTTTTTTTTTCAAGACAGGGTTTCTCTGTGGTTTTGGAGCCTGTCTTGGAACTAGCTCTTGTAGACCAGACTGGTCTCGAACTCACAGAGATCCACCTACCTCTGCCTCCCAAATGCTGGGATTAAAGGCGTGCACCACCACAGCCCCGTCCCTATTAACTCTTACAACTTACATTAGCCCATTATTCTTATCTGTGTTAGCCACATGGCTCAGTACCTTTTTCAGTGAGGCAGTCACATCTTGCTTCTTCTGTGGCTGGGCTAGGACTGCAGAAAGGAATGGGCTTTCCTCTTCCCAGAATTCTCCTGTTCTCATTGACCCACCTCTACTTCCTGTCTGGTTGTCCTGCCTATACTTCCTGCCTGGCTACTAGCCAATCAGTTTATAACTAATGTAGACCTCTGTGTGATTTCTTTGGGACTTAACGATTGCTGGAACCAGGCAGGACAGAAAACCTCAGACAACAATGGACACCTTGTTCAGCCTAGATATAGTAGGGAGGGCCTTGGACCTTCCCAAAAGCCATGTGCCTTACCCTCTCTGGGAATGGGTGGGGAGGTGGGACAGGGGAGTTAGGTGGAGGGGAGGGAGTGGAACTGGGATTGATATGTAAAATGAAAAAAGATAGTTTGTTTTCTTTAAAAAAATAAATTTAATTAAATAAAACAGGCTGAGCAATTGATGGGTAGCGAGCCAGTAAGCAACACCCCTTCATAGCCTCTGCTTCAGTTCCTGCCTCCAGTTTCCTGGTCTGACTTTTCTCAGAGGTGGGATGTCAGCTCTAAGCTGAAATAAACTTCTTTCTCCCAAGTGTTGGTCATAGGGCTATCATCTCAATCAAAACCCTAATTTGTGTAGACAGAACACCCATACATAAAAATATTCTTTTTAGCGTCCAAGGTCATCCTTCTCTACATAAAAAATTCCAGACTAACAATGATGACCAATGACAGCTCCCCCAACCACCAAAAAACCTCCAACCAGCACATACCAACTGTTGTGGTCTGAATGAGAATGCTCCATGGGCTCACACTTGACTGCTTAGTTCCTGCTGCTAGAACAGTCTGAGAAGGACTGGGGGTGTGGTCTTGTTGGAGGAGCTGTGTCATTGGGGATGGGCTTGAAATTTGAAAAGATCATGCCCTTCTCAGTGTCCTCTCTGATATGAGCCTCTTAGGCATTTCTGTTGCCATGCCTTTGCTCCACCGTCGTGGCCTCTACTTTCTGAAACCACAAGCCAATTAAATGTCTTTTTTTTTTTTACTTTTTATATATTTATTTTTATTGTTTTGTTGTTTTGCTTTTTTTTTTTTTTTTTGGTTTTCCGAGACAGGGTTTCCCTGAAGCTTTGGGGCCTGTCCTGGAACTAGCTCTTGTAGACCAGGCTATCCTCAAACTCACAGAGATCCTCCTGCCTCTGCCTCCCGAGTGTTGGGATTAAAGGCGTGAGCCACCACCGCCCTGCTATTGTTTTGCTTTTTTTTTAAATATTTATTTATTATGTATACAATATTCTGTCTGTGTGTATGCTGCAGGCCAGAAGAGGGCACCAGATTCCATTACAGATGGTTGTGAGCCACCATGTGGTTGCTGGGAATTGAACTCAGGACCTTTGGAAGAGCAGGCAATGCTCTTAACCTCTGAGCCATCTCTCCAGCCCCTATTGTTTTGCTTTTTAAGACAAGGTTTCTCTGTGTAGCCCTGGCTGTCCTGTAACTCACAGAGATCTACAGGCCTCTGCCTCCTGAATGCTGGGATTAAAGGAATGTGCCACCACCACCCGGCCAAATGCTTTCTTTAAAACAAGTTGCCTTGATCATAGTGTTTTATCACAGCAATAGAAAAGTAACTAAGACTCCCTATTACAGTACAGGCTGCGGTAGCTCGCCATGGAAACCAGTATCATGTCAGCACCTACTCACCGCAGACAGGCAGCTCCATTAGGTGAGTGGTGGTGGTGGTGGGGGGAAACGCAGCTAGGCAGCTAGGGGCCACACAGTCTTTCTTTTTTTTTTTCTTTTCAAGACTTACTTTAAGTGTATGAGTGTTTAGCTCACATATGCACCATGTGCATGCCTGTTGCCCGTGGAGGTCTGAAGAAGGTATCGGATCCCCTGGAACTGGAGTTATAGATGGTTGTGAGCTACCATGTGAGTTTTAGGAATTGAACCTGAGTCCTCTACAAGAACAATAAGTGCCCTTTCCTTCTGAGCAATCTCTTCAGGCCTCTATACTGCCCTTCTAAGCATTCACGCTACATGTGAAACTGAGTTTTCAATAAAGGGGACTATGTTGACCCTTGGCAGCACTGTGAGAGCCAGAAAGTGAGGAAGTACCACTTAAGTCTTCTGAGAAGAGGACTCAGACCCAGGGGCGGGCGCAGGTCTGTCAGGGTTGGTGAGGGGGCTTGTTTCACATACAGTGGGCCAGGGCTGAGTTCCAAAAGAAGTTTATCCAAAACAAGCCAAACCCTATTAGCCCCAAACTAATGTTTTGAAGAAAGCTCAATCTAGCCAAAGGCAGCTGGGTGATGAAATAAGAATTGTGTCAGAATAGCCACAAGCATAACCACTGGTCCTCTAATGTACAGGAAACCAGCCCACAGAGAAAGCACAGGTAAGTGCACCTGCTGCCCTGGCAGAGGCTCTGGGGCCTTCCCAACACCTACCTGATGGCTAGCAACTACCTGTAACTCTAGTCTTGATGGTTACAACACTCTCTTCTGTACTCCCTGGGTACGAGGTACAAACATGCCGCACAGACACAGATGTAGGTAAAACACTCATACACATAAGACAAAAATAAAATAAATCTATTAAAAAGTTTTTTTTTAAAAAAAAAAAAAACTGAGCCGGGCGGTGGTGGCGCACGCCTTTAATCCCAGCACTTGGGAGGCAGAGGCAGGCGGATCTCTGTGAGTTCGAAACCAGCCTGGTCTACAAGAGCTAGTTCCAGGACAGGCTCCAAAACCACAGAGAAACCCTGTCTCGAAAAACAAAAAAAACAAAAACAAAAAAAAAAAAAACAAAACTGGTGGCATTGGTGCACACCTTTAATCCCAGCACTTGAGAGGCAGAGACAGTGAGTTTAGCCCCGTGGTGTTCTCAATATTCTTTGAACTATTATAATTTTCAGTGTTCTGGAACAAGGGGTTATAGCCCTTATATTAATAAAACAGAACTTACCTTGCCAGGACAAAGCCACACAGTAGCTAAATATGAAGATGTCTTACTAGTAACACCCTCCCTTGTTCACAGACTCCTTCCTTCGGCTAACTAAGAGCAGTGCTTTGCCCCTCGAGATGGCACCTCATCATTGTTTATCTCCAGGGGCTCCTGAAGACACAGGTCAGAGCTGCTGAGGTAATCCTGACACATTCTCTTCACCACCTCATGCAATTCTTCAAACTCCTTGTACACAGCAGGAAAGAAAGGCTTCACTCCAGGAGTCTCTCAACCTTTGTGAGGATGAAGATGAGCAGCATGTAAACCGAGGCAATGGCACGGAAAGCAGAAAACAAACCTGGAGACAGGGAGCTGAGGTCCTCACCCCCACAAGAGGGCAGTGGCCAGCGTTTCCTTCACTTCCTAGCTGTGCCTATGTATGCCACCACCACGCCCAGCTCTGAGAGGCCAGGCTGGGGGTAGGATGCCAGAAAACAAACCCTGAGGGTGAAGTCCACAAACTCTGGGAGTAGGGTGACCCCACAGGAAGCATACAGTTGGCAAAAAGGCACCTCTAGCTCCTAAGGGGCACATTCCCACCTCTTAAGGCCACCACGGTTTTCCACATCTACTCTATCTCCCTACACAAAGTTAAAATAGTCAAGGGAGAGATGGCTCAGTGGTTAAGAGCATAGCCTGCTCTTCCAAAGGTCCTGAGTTCAATTCCCCAGAACCACATGGTGGCTCACATCATCTTTGATGAGATCTGGTGCCCTCTTCTGATGGCAGAACATGGTATACAAACTAACTAAATAAGTCAATAAAACTAAAAAAGAAAAAGAGCCAATCCCTTCACCATCTCTTCTCCTCCATGTTTACTACAGAAAAGTCATGTCAAAAGGGCTGGAACACAGCTTCTTAGAGGTCACCGGACACCAGCAGGGTCCAGCTGTAAGGGCCCTTAGCTCTAAAAATGAAAACCGAACGAAGGTTGTCGCGGCTTGGTTACCACAGTTTCACATCCACAACCCTTCTGTGCAGAAGGCCAAGTTTACAGTAGAGGGATCGTTGCCCCTCCCCCATGGTAGAAAGCAATAGTCAGGTGAGGGCGCAAGGTCGAGATCTAGTCTCTGTGCCCAGCTCCACTCCCTACTGTGTCCCTGGATCTAACCAATACCAGGAACTTATACCCAAGACACAGCATGTGCAGACACCTTATTATGGATGCCAATAGTCCGTCATTTTTGTCTGTAATAACAACAGTCCTACTCACTGGTATGGAATCCATAGTTCTTACTACATCTCAAGCGCTTACCAAGACTTCAGCTGCTGCTGTTTAATTCGGAGTTCTTCTACATTTGAGAAAGGGGTAGAGCAGCCAGGTGTAGAGGTCCATACTGTAGTCTCAGCTCTCAGGCGGTGAGGGCAGGAGGATCTTGTGTTTAAGGTGAGCCTGAGCTACGGAAAACAAAATTCAACCCCTGTACCCACATAGGAGCTAAGAGGTTTTTGTTGTTGTTGTTGTTTGTTAAACTAAACAGCGCTGACCGGCCCAGAGACTCGAGCATTCCGTGAGAAATGTGTTCTCTGCCTCCAAATTCAGAACCAAGAGGAAGAAGTGAGTGGCTGAAAATCTTTGACAGGAGAGAGGCGAAGGTTTCTAGATCTATGGTCAATCTCTGAAAACCCCTTAGCGTTCCTTGGCTGGCCCTGCCCGGACCGCTCAGCTTGCGGGAAATACCTGCGGAATGCGTTGTCCTGACTTGCATTTTCAGCATGAACTCCAAAAACACTGAGGTAAACCGGCGTCGCCAGAGGAGCTGGAACCTTGGAAAAGGTCCGGGATGACAGGAGCAGCGTTTAAGACCGCAGATTATTTGAAGCTTAACCTATGATGTCCTAAAGAGCGGACTTCTGCGGCCGGCGACAAGACGCAGGAGGTTAGACAACTTTCAGAGTTGAGATAGGTAGTCACTTTCATTTTCAAGTTTCTTGTAAAAGGATTGAACCCTCTGGCCCGTACGGGGATCGAACCCGCGACCTTGGCGTTATTAGCACCACGCTCTAACCAACTGAGCTAACCGGCCAGACGAGAGACAGGCCCTCTCAGATCGCCTACAAGGTTTGTTCTGGCGTCCTGTGCCCCGCTGTTTGGCTCCTCCTCTTCCTCTCCCGAGTTCCAAGCAGCCGGCTTTCCCTTGAGCTACGGCTTCACCCTAGCTCATTCTCTGTGTATTACCCCTTGACCGGAAGGAAAAACCGTCACCCAGGGCTCCAGGGAAGGCGACCACCTACAGAGAACCCAGACTTCCCCAAGGAAAATGCCAGCTGCCTGTTCAAGGCCTGACTCTGCAGTAAGGAAACTTTCAAATATCCCAGGTCAGAGTTCCGAAAATCTTTGCAGCCAGAAACCTTTAGGTCTACTGGCGCCTTTAGTATAGCTAAATCAAACTTAGGGCACGGAAATCCAGACAAATGCAAAGAACCACCGAATTCCCCAGCATTCAGTCACCAGCAGCAGCTAGGACCTTGGCTTCCTCCTTTGCGGATATGAATCCTGTCTCCCTATTCATTCTCTCTCTCTTCCCCTCCCTCCCTTCCTTCTTTTCTCTTTCTTCCTTCCTCTTTCTTTTGTTCTTCTTTCCTTCCTTTCTTGTCTGATTATTTATTTGTTGCTCTTAAAGACTGAATTTTGACAGGACTCAGAAGCAGAAACTCTTAGTAAGTTTACGTATCTTAGAAATTTGCTCCTGGCGTTTTTCTTTGGCTTCCTTCATTCTCTTGTCCAAACGTTTAGCGTATTCAAAAGACTCCTCGTTTTCCCCTAGCGTCTGTACGAAGCTTGTACTCATTGTCCACTTCACTGAGTTTCTGACAGCCGATGGCTAGAAAGATATTCAACTTCATCCCAAAAGGGTCTGATATTCACGTCTAACTTACTTTCAACTTGCGGCAATTCCCCCGCCTCAGCTTTCCAAATACTGAGATTACAGGCACGCGCCCCTCCGTCTGGCTCGAAAATGCCATTATAAATCGTTCCTAAGTACAGTAAGACATGGAGTGAATAGGACATAAGCTTTTCTCAAATACAAAATAAAACAGAAGACTGAGCCACCACCCTAGCATTTTAGTGTAAATTCGGGCAAGAACGCGGACTTAGACTAAAATAGTAACTATTTTGTGCCTGGTAACCCCGTGCCCAGAATAAGTCACTTTACAGATTCCTCTAAAACCAAACTCAGAGAGGTGGCTCGCTCGTGAGGCAGAGACAGGAGGTTCTACGTAAGTTCCGGACAGAACCTGTCTCTGCAAGCCGGTAAATAGCTGGGCGAGGCAGCGCTAGCAGGTATAAAACCCCGGATTTTGAGAAGTAGAGGCAGGGTGTGGGGGGGGGGGGGGGGGTCAGTGTTCACGGTGGTGCAGGTGAGTTTGAGGCCACGTGACTTTTGCGCTTCCCGACACCCCACACTTTAGCAAGACTCCTAATGTCACTGCGGGCAGGCTTCCCTACGCCCCTGTTTGCAATCTGCTTCACAGTCCCTGCTTCATCTCCAGGTTTATACCATAAATCATCTTCCCCCACCACGTCGTGCTCTCCAGAAAGCCGCAGCCAAGCGAACCTTAGAAGACACTGGGAGTGCGAGCTCACTTTCCCAAGGGTCTGGTCGGAACCTGGTGGTGGTGGTGGGAGGGGTTTGCGGGTTGGGGGACAGCACTAAGCATCCCCAAGGCTTGAACACCGCCAGGCGCAATGACTAATGGTGAACGCTAGGGGGAACCCGAGACCCACGAAACTCAGAAGCCATTAGGCAAAATAAATGGTACCAAATATTAAGTTTTCTTAAGGGAGTGAATGTGTGTCTTTATATGCAGCATTTTAAATAGACCACATTCTGAATTTTTACTTGTTCGCTTTTTTGAGAATAACATATAACGCAGGCTAGCTTCACAGCTGAGAATGGCACTTAACTCCTGTTTCCATCCCCCAGCGGTTCCCTGGGAATACAGGCACTCACAGCCTAGGCTGTGTTGTGCTGGGGGTTGGGCTATGCCCAGGGCTTCATGCGGGCTAAACAAACTATTAAATGAGCACACCTCCAGCTATTTATTTCTCTCTGGTAGAACTTTTTGTGTTGTCCTGTGTTTCTTTGCTTAGTTTTCTACATGAGAGTCACTGATTTGATTGGACTGTTGAATTCCTTTTTAAAGCAGTCAAACGCATGATCAGAGAGCAGTTGTATTATTTTGTTTCGTTTGTTGTTCCCAGTTGGAGGAGGCTCCCTTCCAGAGCTTCCTGCTATAATCTGGGTTGGCTGTTCTGCACACCCACTGCCCTGCGCATCTCCCCAGCCTTCACCCACAAGCTTTGAATCCCATTCCTCCTTGCCTGTGTTGGATCTCCTTCCTCTCATCCCAGGGTCTTTCCTCCCTTGTTTATCTTTCCTTTGGACTCTAGACATCCATTATCCATTGGCGGCTCCTGGCAAGTGTTGAGTCCTTGCTTGTCTGATCACGTTTTGCTTCTGCCCCCCACCCCCCGGCAGACCATCAACTAGAGAATTCCAGAATAGAGACCCACTGTCCCTCAGCAATCACAAGACCACACTCCTGTCTTAGGACCTGTGAAATGTTCCGTATAGAAACTAAACTCCTGCTTGTTAATTATTGGGTGGGGGTGGGGAGAGAAATGGAAAGCTGAACGGGAAATCGGAATTTAAATGTTTTATCGTACATGTGTTATATCAAAACTGTTAGAGAATAAAAACGAAAAGTAGGCAAACAGAAAGGTTTTGCAGATGTTGTTTCTAACTTGCTAAAACAAATCAGTTGTTCAGGGACCCGTTTGAAACACGCCTCTCCTCCCTAAAACATGCACACTGTCGAAAGCCTTTTGCACAGTTTCTCGTCTGAATGTGGCAGAAGCACAGGGAGTTAGAAACCACGGACTAATCTCCGAGCTCAGCGACCACCAGTAGGTGACCTTGACCAAGCCTTCTGTCACTCTGGGACTCCCACAACAGCGCAATGGCTTCTGCAGCCCAAGTCAGCTAAGCGCTTCTCTCATTTACCTGTGTAACTGGCTCAAGGGTAAAATTTGTCCTGCATCCTCAACACTGGCATAAAACCAGGCTTGCCCCTAGCCAGACAGGAATATCAGAGAAGCGGCAGGTGCCGAAGCGACCTGGTTTTGGACAAACATTTATCGAGCATTTGCGGTGCGTCAGACCTCTCAGGTCTCAGGCAAAAGCCAGCAAGAAATTGGGTAAAGCCCCAGGGATGTCTCATTTGTCCTCACTGCAGCCCCTTGGGATGAGGATTTTTCAACTTCACAGTAACAATTTAGGGGGTCGGGTGTGATGGCGTGGCCTTTAATCCCAGCAGGTGGATCTCTATGAGTTCAAGGCCAGCCTGTTCTACGTAGTGAGTTCCAGGACAACCAGAGCTACACAGAGAAACCCCGTCTTGGTAAACAAAAACAAAAACAGACATCCCTGACATAAATAAATAAATAGATAGATAGATAGATAGATAGATAACGTAGGATCTCTACCACACTGCTTTTCATCATATCCCTAATGCCTGCAACAGTGCTTGGAGCAAACGAATGTTTGCTGAAAAAGTGAAACGTTTACATAACAGTCGCTATAAACCCCGCTGGTAGAGGCTCAACAGTAGGTGTTGGCACAGAACAGGTGCCAAGAGGTGTTGCAGTCAGTGAAAGCTCAAGGACGTGGTTCGTGCATCAGGTTTCACAGCGCTACATTCTCAGGAGAGCTGAGAAGAGTCTGCCCCGCCAAGTACGCCAACGCACTAAGGTAAGAAACTGTATTTAAATTTAAAGGAGAGAGGGAGAGGGAGAAAGGTTGCTTAGCGACCAAACTGAGGTGGCTGGTCTCACTGCGCATGCGTGAACAGACAGCAGTGGTTCTCTTCTGCGCATGTGTGGGCGGCAGCCTCACGCCCAGTCCCCCCCTTCCGCTCCGGGGGGGCGATATGGCGGTTGCTAGGGCAACAGGAATACAATATGGCGGCCGGATCCTAACGCTCTCCAGCCAGGGACCACCGCGAAGGTCCACGAGCCGGAAGCCGCCTCAGGAAAACAGAAGGCCGGTACCACAGTCTAGTCTCTTTTCGGCCCGGGTCCGACCACGGACTGTCGCCGTCATCCGCGTTCAGGATGAAGAGTGAGTGGGGCCGAGGAAGGGCCGAGGGTCCCGGGCCTGTGTGGCGGCGCCGCCCTGAGGCCGTTCCGGCTCAGGCACCTGGGTCAAGGCGGTTATGCTGGAGCTTGGGCACCTGAGTGTAATTTCATTCATTAACTCGTTCGTTCGTTCGTTCGTTCGTGTTAGGTCGCAGTTGAAATTCTCAGACCTTCGGCTGTGGGCTCTGAGCGCTCAGTTTCTCCCGGCCCTTTGCGGAGAGCGGCTTAAAAGGCATTCGCGATCATAGCTGGGTTGTGTCTTTTTGAGTTAAGTTAGTGTTTTTGAAGCAACCTTTCAGCGGAATTTAAAACGGTCACTCAAAAGTTGGGAACTGAGGCAGTCATTCTAGAAAGTAGAGGGACTGGAAAAATTGACTTATTTGGGGGATTGTGGGTAACTTAAATCCTAGTGCGACTGATAGCCAGGTTGGCTTTGTTGGAACGGCTGTTTGGTTTGCACAGCTATACAGTTATGATTGCCTTTTGTAGTTGTAGCCAGAGGTGCAAAAAATTACAGTTCCTTTTGCTATTAAGAATATATTATGCTGTTCGAGACCAGCCTGGTCTACAGAGCTAGTTCCGGGACAGGCACCAAAGCTACAGAGAAACCCTGTCTCGAAAAAAAAAAAAAAAAAAGAATATATTATACTATTGTAGTATTATATTTTGATTACCATGCAGTAATTTCTATGTAACATAAATTACATAATATTTAAAAAATAAGTGATCTCATTCACTCCTTATCATGCATTTTCATTTCTTCTGTCCAATAGTGTTTATATGGTTATCGCTTTGTTTGGGGGAATTTTCTTTGAGAGCAGGATCTCACTTAGCCCAGGCTGACCTTGAACTAGATATGTAGCTGAGATCGGCTTTGAACTCCTGATCGTCTTGCCTCCATATTTCAAGTGCTGGCATTACAGGCTGTGCTACCAAGTCCAGCATGGTTATCATTTTCATTAATGCCTCACAAAGCTGCAATTAAAAAGATCTTTATACTGTTACTTCGTAGTGCACACGTATAGACACATGATATCTATATATTCATCTTTTCCTTCCCAAGTATTTCATTTTCTTTTTTTTTTTTTGGTTTTTCAAGACAGGGTTTCTCTGTGGCTTTGGAGCCTGTCCTGGAACTAGCTCTTGTAGACCAGGCTGGTTCCGAACTCACAGAGATCCACCTGCCTCTGCCTCCCGAGTGCTGGGATTAAAGGCGTGCGCCACCACCGCCCGGCCCAAGTATTTCATTTTCAAATGTGCAGAAGAATTAAGAGGGTACCCTGCATATTTCTAAGTCTTTTCATTATTTTGTCTTCTTTTGCATACTCATTTTTGCTCTGGTGTTGTTTGTTTAATTGACAGATTTGTTTCTTTGCACTGAGTTAGTTGTAGACATCATAACATTTCGCCACTACTAATTCAGCAAGTATATGTAAGGTCCAGAGGCTAGGGAGATGGCTCAGTGGATAAAGTGCTTACTCTACCAGTATGGGAATTTGAGCTCTGTCCTCTCTGCCGGAAAGCCAGAGGCAGTAGCACCTGTCTCTAATTACTGTACTCTTCCAGGAGGATGGGAGGTGGAGACAGGAAGCCCTGGGAGCCTACGAGCCTTTGCGTTGGCCACTCGGAAGCCAACAAGAGACTCTGTGA